GTAGACAATAGACGATGACTTCTGCACACCTATCTTGCGCACATATGACACATGTTATATAAAAAATGAATTCTAATGTTTTATTACTTGTATCACGAGCAATAATCCTTGCAATGTGACAATTGAAAAGAAGATTTTACAGCAAGAATACAAGTGATAATGTTAAAATAAATTTATCCAAATATTTAAGTTAGTATTTTATTCTTTCTTAAATAAAAATAGAGAAATTTAACGGCAATATTTGTTAAAATTGTTCTATCATTGAACTTTTTATTTAAAGTGGAAACTATTTTTGCATTAATAATGCAAAATGTTTGAAATATACTAAAACGGATGAAAATGTATCGCTCTAAGAATATTTTGAATAAATAGTGTAAAATTTTAAGAGAACAGTGTCGACGTCAATGTCACAGTATTTATTTATTCTATCCTAAATTAAATCAATATTTATTCGTTTGATTATTTATTTTTAGGTACCGCGATATAATGAATATAAACAATTTCAGAATTCGTGAGCAAATAAATATGCGTATTATATTATTAATAGATACATACGAAAATAATAGGCGATTTGTTGGGAATTAAAGCACAGCGAAGCTCGGAGCGTCGATTTAAATTCCGATTCGTTCGATTTTTAGTGCGTCTTTACGTTGGTAACGTTAATAATATTATTAATTAATGGACGCATAATGACACGTTCCTTTGGTTAACGCGTAGGCGACATTCCTAATACCAATTACAACAACGGAATTCTAAAAGCAATAACGTTTGTACTCGTTTATGATCGCTTAAAACGGAACATCATATCGTATTAATTTACCGAATTTGCGAAAGACCAGTAGGTTATCGATTCAACAGTTTCGAGTGCTCTTGTTCGAATCGATGTGTGTGGATGTATGCGAATCAATGAAATCGGTCATTGTTTACTATAATTAATTGTAACGATACAAATGCGATTACCCAATTAACTGTTTGCGTTACGTATTTATTTTTTCCTTAATTTCATATTTGAATGAATTAACTTTGTACGATTGTAAACGTAACATTAAAGCAGCCTTTAAATAGAAATATTACTTAAATTCTATATATTTAAAATGTTATTTAATGCGAAATTTGTAAAACGATATTTGAAAAATATTTAAATTGTCTGAAATGAAATTATATATAGTAATACCTCGATAACTGCCGCAGGCTTCGAAAGAAAACGCGACAGTTAGGAAGGGAAATAGGTGCTTCAGGAATTGAGCGCCATTTTAGCGAGCCGTTATTGTACTATTTAATTTCTTTATATTATACGTTAAATTTCTGTTATATATACAATAAAAAAAAAAAGGCACGAAACAACGCCATGAATGAGAAATAAATAAATCTACTCGAAACCAGCAGAAAAGTGGAAGAACTAAACGAGCAGTAGCATAATTTCTACAAAACAAGATTTTTGCAAATAAATTGTACTCGTGACTTCAGTTATCAGTGGTTAACTTGTGCATAGTACAATTTTAAATGTTAACAGAATGAGACAATTTTTTTTTAATACACATGCAACACCAACATTTCCTGTTATTCAACTAAAAAGAAAAAAAAACAAGAATAAATTAAAATACAGTCAGAAAAATGGAAAATTAAAGAAATGAATAAATAAATAAAAATGTAGTAAAAATTAATGTAAAGTGAAATTGCAAGAACAACAACGAATACATGTAACCTACATAATTATCCATAATTAAGATTATTACGTTTAATATTCAAGAAAGAAATAAAAATGATACGCACTATATTTAAAAAGAAGTTCTCTCAAAAAAATGATAACTCGAGAATTAATTTTTTAATGTAACTCTTTAGTATCGAGAAACAGGAGATAATGAAAAGAAACTTGGATTAAGAGATTCTATTTACATTCAACTGAAACGTTGCCTTGCCAAGAGATAATACTTAAAACTTATTTCCTGGCAATTAATTCTTGGCAAATTTTCAGACTTGGCACGACCATTGCACTGTTGCTTCGCAAAAACAAATGCCACGCTGCTCGGTTTGCCTTCCACAAAATCATGCTAATCAGAAGAAAGACAAGTTACTGAGTGGACCGAAAATACACTCGAATAACTCTCTAATGTAAGATCAGAATTATTCGAATTTGTAATATTTGTATTGCATAATGGATTAGTGTATTTAGTTGAAACGAAGTTGGAAAAAACATTCCCTCGCTAACTGATTGAATTTTTTTAAGAATACCCTCATAAATGAAATGTAACAATGTCAGTGACGTGTTATCAGTTTTGGGAATAGTTCTGATCTTATTATAGTGTCTTATCGATAACGAAGATTTTTTGGTAGACTTTTTAATAGCGATTTACAACGTTGGTTTTGTCCATTTTTTTTCAAACACTTGTGGAAACGCTTTGTATGAATTCGTAAAAAATTGAACGACTCGTTCGCAAACTGTGTAAAAATTGTCGAAGAAACGAGAACAAAGATATGCATGTTCCCTTTCCCCCGCCCCGTATGAAGCTCCGGCGACAACTAGCAAATGATTCGATTTATTAGTTTTAAACCATTTTGTACGTTTATATGCAGTTAAATGACGTGTACATAATTATGTAAATCAGTGTTGTGAGATTAATCTGATTGTAATACCTACACACAAACCCTATTAGCAGAAGGCATGTGCTTCGAATTATTATCCTTGAGATTTCCTGAGATGATTAAACGGTCCTTTCAGAATGTCTGATTTTTCAACACAGTCGACTCGTGAGGATGTCATTTTTATTTTTCACTTTTTCGTGATAAATTTATTTTTCATTTAATTTCAGACATCCTTTCGATTGTATTACATAATATTTATGATATCGAATAAATCAGATATCGTTTCTATTTATTTACAAATTTGGTAATTATACGAATTAATTATTTATTATTAAAATTTTGAATCCTAAAAAAAGAATAGATTCGTTCAAAAAATTTAATATTGTCACTGAAAGTGAAATATGAAAATTTGAGGAAAAAATGTCTATTGTGATAAAAAATGTAGAAGATGAAAACAGCATTTGCTCACAAGTCGAGTATGTTAGGAATATGTTGTTATTATCAAACACCTAGTTATATCAACAGATTAAACAGATTCATGATATTCAAATCTTTAGTAAAGTTATTTTTTGTTTATTATATATATTTTATATTTCATTCAAACTTCTAAGAAAGCATTTGTTAAGTAATTCAATTCAATTCCTATCTTTTGAATTCTGAATATTCTTATACAACAAATATAAATATAAATTTCCAAGGAATGGCAGAGGTTTGTATTTTTGGGTAAGTACTGTAGATATTTTACGTATAAAACACGTATATACTCTATACAGGGTGTCCTAAAAATGTTGTAACACCTTAAAAGAGGTGGTTCGGGAGGTGATTTGAAACAACTTCTTTCTTAGCGAAAATGTTGTCCGAGGCTTCGTTGAGGAGATATTAACGGAAAACACTGACCAATCAGAGCGCGCGTATACCGTTGGAGCGGCCGCGGTAGCGAAGGCTATGTGCTAAGCGGCCGCGCTTGTACGCGAACAAGCGACTCGACGTGCATCGAAGGACATTGAACGCGGCCGCTTAGCTCGTAGCCTTCGCTACCACGGCCGCTCGAACGGTATACGCGCACTCTGATTTGTCGGGGTTTTCTGTTCATATTTCCTTAACGAAGCCTCGGACATCATTTTCGCTAAGGAAAAAGTTGTTTCAAATCACCTCCCGAACCACCCTTTTCAATGTATTACAACATTTTTGGGACACCTTGTATACAGTATTGTTATTTCGTTCATAATTATTTGAATGACAATTAAATTTTATTTTATTCAAGACCACTTGTTTACTTTTTAATCACTACTTACTTTTTAATCGCTATTACTTTATTCTCAAACAACACACATTTCTAAAATGTCTGTCGTAAATGTACAGTGAAACAAAACCTATTCGAATTAGGTTAATTCCTATCATCATCCACTTGTATTACTAGATACACTTGTTACTCGTGCGACTTTAGAATTTGTTTGATTAGTTTTGACAAATATGGAAAATCTAGTTTGTTGTTAAAACGATTGATTTTAGACAAATATTTATCTAAAAGCGTTATGATGTCACACATTGAAATGTAACACGAGCTCATTCTAAACATTTAAACTGAAATGACCAGATTCTGCTTAATTTAATAAATAATATATTTTCTTTACTACTCTTGCATCCAATTTAAAAAACTATTGTTATATTGTAATTAAAGTAATACGTTGTGACATGAAACAATCAAAATTAATAAGTACATAAAACTCAAAGTACTTAGCTCGAATAATTATGGATAGTACTAGTACTATCAAGTACTGCAATTTTGCTAAGAAATGTACATACCTTCAGGAATCTTCGGTTCAGTATCCTAAAAGCATCTCCAAAATCAATAACCTTGTTAGAAATAGTGAGAGAAAACTCGCCTAAAGGGGAAAATGAAACATGGACCTGCTTCTTCTCTTGCAAAGTCGTGTTATATCGTGTTGATACTGCATCAAATTCGATTGAACGAATATTTCGTCGATTTGCGCGTGCGCGGGAAATTTAAATAATGGGATAGATAGATGAATGCACATCTGTCGCTGCACCAGACTATGTTTTCATATATCGCTAACAGATGTCGCACAAATGCGAAAACATTAGGAATCGTTTCCAGACGTATACAAAAATTGTTCTCTAATCCACATTTTAATGTTTCACATTCATACAACAATAAATAATAATATATTGGAATGTGCTTTACTTTAGCAATTTTTGATTCTAAGCAACAATCGAGAAATTAAAAACTGCATTGAATATATCCATATAACCACGCATTACCACGAGACTTCGATCTTTAATTCTTAAAAATACCTTTATTTACTATTTTACTCTAACGTAAAACAATAGTCTTAACTAATAAAAACATTTGTTTTCTAAACAATTATATTACAGCTGCGTTCACCACCAGTGCATTGCACTTGTCCACTGTAAAGAAACAATATATTTCATTCAAAATAAAATAGTATAGAATAATAAATTAGATATTTTATATTATTCGAAATATAGTTACTCATATTTTTTACTTTCATAAGAATCTAGTCAAAGATTAAAATTACCCACAATGCACATGGTATTTGGCGGTTAAATATTCAAAACACGCCAGAACGACTAACCTAAAATGTGACAGCTCACATCTTGAATGAAATGCCAAACATGAATGGAATATCGGCAGTACACGTTAAAAAATTAAGTAAATACAAATTGTTTATTTTTTGTAAGTACGACAAATAAAAAATTAAAAAATTCGTTAAATTCTTCCCAGGTCATAATCTCGAAGAAATACGTTCAAGAGCTTTAGACAATATTATTTTAAAATATGATCTTGGATTTAGCTGTGATTGTGATGCTTTAAAAAAGGAATTAATAACGAAACTATTTAATTGGTTTTCATTTGAGCCCATTTCACATACACAGACAGTTCTAGATTTATTACTTCGTTTGTTACAGGTATCTACGTAATTATATAAAATATTAATTAAAATATAATGTTAAGATATGCTTTGTATTTTGTATTTTATAAACTTCATTAATTTTATTATATTTTATCAGACTGGCGATAGAAGTTATTTAAATGCGTTTGGTAAGTTGCGGTTCCAAAATGAACTTCATGAGTTAAGGAGGAAACTAGGTTCAGAATGGTATGATAAATTAAATGAACTCGAAGAAGTTGTTATTAATGAAAGCAGATTGCAAACAGCAGTTACAGATACTGAAAACACAAAGGTCTACCACATTTCTTTAATAATTATATTTAACAGTAACTGTAATCATAAAATTTTTATATGCTCGCTTATGAATAAGAAGAAATAATAATTTGTTTAATTTATCTTTAAGAATCCAAGCTCTTTGAAAATGGGATTTATTGATTATGACAAACATAGAACACGTGTTAAAGATTATGAACACAAAGCTCATAAAACAGAGGATCGCAATATGTCAAATAGTGTACTTACTCTCCCTTCTGTTTTAGATAGGTAAAACTTTATTTTAAATATTAATGCTTATGTCTAAAAAAATTTCTGAAAAAAGATTTTCTAATACTTTTGGTTTACAGTACAATACCATTTGACTTAACATTGGAATGTGGAGATGGAACACCAATATCAAAAACTACAGAAGGAGGTATCAAGTGGTTAGTTATGCCATGGCAAGCTTTGGTCACATCAGATAGAGGTGTCCTATCAGCAGTTGAAGAAGCCCTAAGCAACAGCTTAGACACAAATCTCATATTACATACGTGTCAATTTATAACAAATGTAATGATGCAAGATTTTCCAGCAGAAGTATTTCTCCAAAGACCAGCAATAGTCACAGTATTTAAAATTTCATTTCACTACATCATTACAATGAACATTTATTAGTTTATAATATGAAATTAAATTTCAGATATTGCATAATCTTTTGGAATCCAGTACAAATACCTCGGACGTTAATCTTAGGAGCATCGTACCAATGGTATTAAAAACACTGCACAAACTAACGCGATCGTTGAGATTACGGATTCATTATTACTGTGAACCATGTATCGCGAATAAAAAACAAAAAGTACATAAGTGTATTACAACATAGATTTATTTATCGCTTAAGGGTAACTCCATTTATTACCAAAAAATTTATTTTTCAGTTATTAGCAGGGAAATTAAGTAGCAATGTTTACTCGTCCTCCGAGACTAGAGACAGCCCTGATGGAGGATTCCTAGAAGCTAATTATCAAGCATATCAGTCCACGGTATGCATTTTGTAAAATAATTAAAATTATTCACAACTGTTAATATTGTGTGTTCTATGCAGGGTACAAGTGAAAGGAGTCAAAGTGCAACAGATAACATAGACGATTCTATCTTACAACTGCAACAGATGCTACTTCCAACCTTCTGTATTGAATCTTTAAAACATGTCATATCGCAACTAAGTATTCCCCTCGACTCAAAATTCCCATTAAGAAACACAAAGTACATAACGGATTTAGCATATGAACTATTACAATTACTTATTTCAAGTGTAATGCCAAATGTTTGGCTTTGTAATGACAATATAGCCGTAAAAGTAACCGAAGACATGAAAACATTATTCAGCATTTTAGGAGATGCTATACAATATTTTCAAAACTACAGTACAATGGATCATTATAGAATAACGTATCTGCATCTTGCAAGTATTACAATGAAACTTTTAAGCAGCATTGTACCTTTGGAAATAGCAGACGTTGTTTTTCCTAAATCGCTTAAAACATTGATATGTATAGCTATAATGGATGGTCCCATTTACTTTTTATACCCTAACTTGCATTCTGTAATGCAAGAATACGGTCGTGTAAGTAATTTCTAATTTTTGTAGTTAATAAAATATTATATTAGTAATTTAAGTTTTAAACTTGTTATCGTTTGTTTCTTTTATTCATAGCAATTTCAAGGTAATGACGAAATTACATACATCAAAATGTTCGACGAGACAAGGACAATAGCAAAATCAATGAAAGCAGCCATATCATTGATAAAAAATTCGTCCAATTTGTCTCATTCAGATGTTTTAAAAATGTTATACGCTTCGAAATTAAGTTTATCTTATCACAAAAATTTCTATATTATTAAAAAGACTATCAGATTTCTACAAAGCATAAGTAGGTATGTAACTATACAAGCAAAATTTAGACATTTTTAATTACCTAAAGTATACTGCACGATAATGACATCATTATTTCAAATATTTAAGATACTCTCTAAATAACGAAGATCGTACATTAGCTACTAAATTAATGTTGGGCTTATTGGCCAATGGAGATACCGACGTGCAGTACACGACATATCTGGAATGTTATACGCTAGTTAAAAACATTCTAGGTGTAGACTACAATATTGAGAAACTATCATGGGAAAATTTAGTATTCTTGTTCGAATCATCTATATTGACCGAAATAATTGCTCATGGTGTAACAAATGATGACAAAAGGGTAAGATAAAATTGTCCAAACGTTGAATATAACATAATTTATCAGGGACTATTTATCTTTATGTTAGATCCAAGAAATGTCAGAAGAAATGCTAGTTTATATACTAAAGGGAAGAGTTCAAATGGGAGAAAGTGGATGGTTAAGATCATTAGAATCCATTGTACCAGTTCTGCCTCTTTTGCAGTGCCATTCTGATCCTTCTACAGATTTAGGACAATGCGTAACAAAAATATTTGATCCCGATATTTCTTCTAATATACAGTTACCATATATCGAGGTAATATACCATGCAAGAATACATATTACATTTCCCATATAATTAGCTAAACATCATAATCAATCACATATTTTTTTTATAAGGTCTTTAAAGGCAATCTAAGATATCTATTCTCGCCGGATAGCACTATTAGGGAAGAAGCTGTTTGTCGATTGATTTGGCTTCTTGGAAAAGAAAAGGATTCTGTTAAAAAATTGCCACGATTATCGTCTCTACACGGTTTACCTCTTAGCTCGCTTTGTATACTTGAAAATCAAACGTCTGGTAAAAAATCGGGAAGCAGTTATCAGGTTAAATATTTGTATAGAATGACGCGAGATATAATCTGATGTCACATACAATATACGAAGTTTTTTTTCACAGAGGAGTAATTTATTATCTGTACTTGAAATGCTACGTGAGCCCAATATTGATCCAAAAATACGGAAATCTGCATTAGTCCAAATTAGCGTTATGCTGTCTGACAATTCTTTACATAAGCTATTCATTAGTGAAAATGGTTTACCTCTAATTTTAGAGATATTTAACAGTGCTTTGGTAAATTTCATTGTATTTAGATTACGGGGTAAAGTGAATAAATTGAATAAATAATTCATATCGATTTTTAGATAGAACAAGATTATATTAATTACCCAGATTCTGTGATCTCAATAATCGCTATATTAAACGTATTAGCATCCACTGAAAGCTCTATACGTCACGACCTATCCACTAGTATAAACGTTCTTTCAAATATAATAAGAAGTACGTATAACAAAACATTAAAATTTTGTGTAGTTATCTAATTACAGTTGTTAATTTTTTAATAAATAATTACTCTTTAGGTCTCTTTCTATTTCCAAACAACGAATGCATAAAAAGTGATGCTTCACAGCTTCTATGTTTATTGCTTTATAACGAATACATTATGAGGTTGAGTGAAAAATATACAGAAACTTTTAATCAGTTAAACATTTCGTTACCTTATATTATTATATCCAAAATGAAACTACCGTTTACTTGTAAATCTCATTGGAAAATAAGTCCACACAGACGATCAGATATATCTGGTAAATGAATTTCGTTAATTATTTAACATATATTATTATAAAAATTGAAATAAATATTTCTCTTTGCATGTTATAGTTCTTCACAGTACGAATCCACTGGCATCAACATTTATCAAACAATATTGGATATGGGAGTGGAATGATGGTGTAAATGTACTTTGGAAAAATTGGAATGATCTCTATGACTCCGATATATCCGAAAAATTGAAAATTCAAGAGAACGAGTTTTGGTCTTTACGTTTTAGTTACCCTCATTATTATTGTCAACAACAATTATACAACATACAAAATTCAATCACACATGATGCAGTTTCATGCGCACTTGATTATCTTACAATGTAAATACTATTTCAGAAATATTCTACGTTGTCTTTCTATAAATATGAAGTTAGTAATTCTACCATCTTCTTGCAGGTACATAAAATTTTACAAAATGCAACAATACGAAGAAATAAAGGATATAAATCTGTTACCATGGGAACAAACATTTGAACGGTTTTTACACTCGCAGCCTGCAAGTAAAGAAGACCGCGACCTGTTTATTGAAGTTTTAAATTTTTTACAAATCTACGTTAGCATTACGAAAAGTGGTATGTTTTGGATAAAAAATAATCTTGTTGTATTGAAGATATAGCGATATCTACTTGCGTCTTTTTATGATGAATAGGAAAAGGGACATGGACTAGCAAGATAATGAAAAATATAACCAAATCATGGACAGAATTATTAAAAAATTCCGAGATAGATAATCAAGGTGTACATCAGTCTATATTAAAACTAGCTCGTGCATGTTCGGCTGTAGAGAAAACTAAAAAGTTTTCGGACGAAAATCAAGAAATTTGGCTCCACTTTATCGAACTCGTTGTTTCTACATTATGCTTTGGAGACCAACAGCATTTTTATAATTTAGGTGAATCTTATTCTCTATACTTCCCGACTGCCACACCCAACACCCATAAAATTTCCTTAGAGACCAAAATTCTTACTAGCAAATTTTTTGGTTCATCAAAATTCATGAATCCTAGTTAAATATATTTTGTTTGACACCTCATCCTAATATGAATGATGTGGAAGCCACCGTATCAAGTTAAAAATAAATTACAATTTTTGTTTGTTACTAGCTTATCTTGATTGGTTGTTAACATGTTTAACATATTTAATCGAGAAATGTCATTGGGGAAATCATAAAAATTTACTAATATCATTGGGAAATACATTGATCGAATTAATTATATCTTTCCATGGAGCTGGAACTGTTAGTTTTATGGGCTTATCTATAACTAGAAACTCCATAATATGCCTCAATCACTTATTATACCAGATGCAAATAAATTTTAATAAGAATGTAAGTATATGTAACCGAGTATTTCCATCTACATTGATATAATTAATTCAAATTGTATTCTTCTCAAATTTTCCATAGGCGTTTACTGCATTTTGGTACGAAGAAGGCCGCACATTAAATTGGTTGCCCATGCTATGGCAAAATCGAGATCCTTTGGTGCGAGCATCAGCTTTACAATTATTAGCGGATTTGATAAATAATTTGCACACAGCTACTCAACTTTTAAATACCATAGTATTAGCACCGAGCGAACTGTGTCAGACATTGATCCAATATATTGTCAGTAGAGAAGAATCATGCATAGTTAGAGAACAGGCATGCATAGCTTTCAGTAACTTAGTGAAGAATTGTAATTCCATGACTTTTCAGTATGTAAGTATATATTAAATTACTTCCCTTATCAAGAAAAAACATAAATCTTTAGATTATAGAACTACTCGGAATTCTAAATTAAATATAGGATATGAAAAAATATCTATATAATAAAGATATTGTTAATTTTGATAATAATGTTACAATATCTATTGATTTAGGTGGATTCCTTGAGAGCAAATGCTATTTTAATATACATAGAACAGAACAACACTTACTACGAGATCAGTGTCTTATGTTCCAATATTTATATGTATAATACCCTGGATTGCGAGCAAATGGACAACCGGGAACAAGAAAGCGAAAATGCACCATCTATCCATAGTATGCAGTCGGGTTGTACGTCATTAGTACCGCGAACAATTTCGTATCTGTATAACTGTCAGGATGAATTACAACCTTGTATGTATAGTCTACATTCATGTTTTTCTTTATCGCAGTTCATAAATATTGAAATTCTGTATCTTGTACTTATAAAGTAAAATTTTATACAAATGTTTTATACATGTGCGATGCAAATACATTCTCTAATTAATTATACCTAGTTTCAGTGAGAGGATCAGGGACAACAGATATGGATAATTATTTGCAATTGGTAGTAACACCACCTCTAATCACAGCTGTTTGCAGATTGCTAAATAATTTGATATTCGTAGGCAAACAAGAAATCGTTCGTCAAATTTATGAACACTCTATAGATAAATATTTACTTGGGTAAGTACAATCGACGCAATTATTTGTTTACTTCTTCACAAAAAAAAAAATAGTTGCGACATTATTGTTCCTTGTGTCCCTACAACTTTTCAGATGTATCAACGAAATTCCCAAAGATACCATTGGCAAAAAGAATTGTACACATTACTGCGATATTTTGGAAATGTATATTAGCATTTGCACGGTGCTAACGAATTGCGTCATTTACAGTAACGAATACGTCTCTGCTATTAATTTTTCTCCAGACTCGCTTTATAGTTTACTCTACTTTTTGAACAGTGACTTATATTGTAAGTTTGAATTTTTCTTAAATCGCATCTATTAATACTATTTAATTATTTCATACTTTGAGCAAAGAAACTGAATTTAATTATAATTAAAATTCAATTTTCACAGGTACCGACACAGAACAATTGGTCTCTTTAAGAAATAGACTCTGGACAGAGGCTTTCAACTTTATAGCTGTTCTCTCATTAACCGAAAATCAACATTTCGAATCGGTACAAACCGCACTAGAATTATGTGGCCTAGAAGCAGTACTTTCATCTATTTGTATTGCCATAAAGGACACGAACACAGAGCTTCGTATGAGCGCGATAGGTTGCCTCGCGTTTTTCCTTTCGCAGGAAATTCAAAAGGATTCTTTAGGAAAAAGCAACACCTCGCTGCAAACAGTAATAGATACCACTCTGATACAGACCTCGACTGACAGCAGAAATAACTTGAAAGAAGTTATATCAAACATTAATAAACTCTCTCTGCGAAGCGCGAGTGGACATTCGAGGAGATCAAATGAAAACGATGACATCCTTATAATTTACGACAAAGCAGCGGATCGTGAAGTTGGAAAAGAAGATGTCGCAATTGGCGAAGAACTCTGTGGCGTTCTATTACATCTATTTATCGCTCATAATTACAACAGATCCAAGAAAAACCGTAAATTGACCGAGGACAAGGACTTGATTACAAGTGCACTTACTAATTTGTTATGTGTATCTAATACAGCTAAGAAATTCGCCCTGGAGGAGAATTTACCGGCAACAACTTTAATGATATTGAAAGAATTATATGTTAGATTAAATCTGCAACCGTTTGAGTTTTTCAAGAATCAAATAGACCGTAACAAAAAGGTGCATAGCGATGATTAAACACGTTGAGCGCCACGTCAGCCATCGGTGACTGACACTGGACTTTCCATTTAGGCCGCGTCAGCCACCGGTGGCTGACAGGGTACAACATGTATAGTTGTACCATTTTTATCTAGTGTTTCTAACCGAACGGTAAAGAAAACAAAACAGACTTGGCGCGTAACGTGTTGAATGTATGCCTATAGACATCGCATTCTAAAAGTAAACTTCTACTGCGATAAGAAACATTGCCTCTATAATACCAGCGCTTTTAAGCGGCACGCGTGGCCTGGCGGGAACTTCCTTAAAAATCGGTGTGGGGCTCAACGTGTTAATTTCATATGATTTTATTCTGTGATTATTTCGGGATTGCTGAATCCGTACTGTAGCTACAATCGATCATAGCCACAACCCCTGAGAGCTCTTTAAAGTTGTTCACTATGCTAAACCGATGGGTTTTCCAATGAATACATAATTTTCAATTGAGCATGCAAAAACTGCATACATGTCAGACGGAATTTCCAATGACATCTATGCAAGTATGATAAAAAAAGTTTTCCTCGTTTTTTTTCTAGATTCCTCCGCTATTACACGATGTAAATGGAATTTTCATATTACTAATGAATTTCATGTACGGCAGCACACAAGTGAAAGAGATTCTGACGAAATGTGGATTAGCGGATGTCTTGCACAAGTTGTGGGTTTGGATTGCGTTAAATAACACTGTTGCGACGACTACTTTAAAATTACTTGCAACGTATACTACCAAATGTACTGCAGGTATCGTATAAAATTTAACGTATGATTCATTTTTAGTTCTTGATTAACGAGTTAAGAAAATTATTGGACTGATTAGTAAAATTTATTAATACTTTTATAGCGGCACAATCGCTGACATTGACGACTACCTTGCCAGGCGCGGGACTTAGAAGAACTCCTAATACTCTAGCTCTAATCCACGTAATTATACAATTAATTTGTAAGGAAATCGATAAAGCTGGACAACTCTTCGATAATCACAAGTTACATTTCGCATTTCATATTCTGCGAAACGCAGTACATGTGCATGAATGTAGGGTGTCGATTTCGAAGGTAATTTAAACTTTCTTAGCAATCAAGTATAATTTACCCAATAGTAATATTTAATTAATTAATTATAACATTGCAGAGTAATCTGCTGCAGTTTTTTACAAAAATACATCCAATTACGACAAAAAGGGTGAAACCATGGCCGCTCGTCGAATTGTATTGTTTGGAATTCTTAATTGATTTTACTTATTACGAAGAAGGTCAATTATGTGTACCAAAGGTAAGTGTAAATTTTACTGTATGAATGTTTAAATATAACATGCTAAGTGCGAAATAAAATATGTCAAAAGCACTTTAATTATTTTATTATTAAAAAATTTTAAATAAATAATGCTCCATTATTTTAATTTCTAATTATTTCTGTCCAGTCTGTCGACGGTCTGGACGTTCTATTGCAATTGTCAAAATGTTCTTCATCGTCTAGCAGAATTCTCGCTATTTCCATATTGCGCAATCTGTCGTTTAATGTGACAAACAGACCACGATTACTTAGTTCTGGTAAGAAGGCACATTTTAATATTATTATATACTTAAATAATTTTAACACCATAATCTCTATAATTTATATATATGTTGCAGTGGACTTCATTAATGTTTTGCACGATATATTCAAAAGTGGTTCTCTCGGCGAAATTAAAATAGCTGGTTCTATGTTATGGTCCCTTGTATGCAATAATCAGAAAGGAAAATTAATTGTGCGCAGCGCTGGTTTTTCGCAGAGTATTCAAGAAGCTTTAGGGAGACTAACATTGTTATCTATAGATGATAGAAAACAGGAGCAGGAGTCAGTTAAAATGTTACAATATGTGTTAAGAATTCTTAGTCCGGTAGATACTAAAATACATGAATACGATAACGATTGAATAATTCAATTAAGAAAATGACTGATAAATATAATTGTACATACGAGTAGATTTAATTTTTGTAATAGTATGTGAATAACTTTTATAGTAAAATCCATTGCATCGTTTTATTGTAATCATTTTTTGTAATTTTTATAACGTAACAATAATGAAATTTATTGCGAAATATATTGTATATTTTTATAAATATCTTAAAAGATATTTTACAGAATATTTGGTAATAAAAATGATTCAGTCTTCTTTGTCATTTATTAAACATATTTATATGACGTATAATTTCTATTATTTGCGCTATTCTTCGGAAACAAACAAATCTTTCTATTCTCATAGCAAAATTCATTTTATTTTAGCATGTGTGTCACTGTGAAAAACAACTAAAATTGATTTTACAAACTAAATGCCTTTATCGAACTTTCTATTTTAAGAGGAAAAATGTTTTCATGAAAAACCGATGTCAGTCGGCCTTGGCGATGATGTGGAATGATACACGACGAGGAGAGAAATATGTTAAATGACGGCACTTTGTATTATATACGAAATAAAGTCTAAAATTTATTGAATCCTCCTGTGGGAGAGATACTATGATGTCTGTTTGTTTATCGAGATTAGTGCGAATAATAAAAATTACACAAATATCCCAAGCATTCAACCGATAATTAATTTGAATATTAATAACGATCACGATTCAGAATGAATATTCATTGAAGGGATTAATTCTGAAAAGTTTCGCTATATCTTTATATCTATTACCTTTAATACCTAAAACTTAATTTCTGAGTTAAATTAACTATTAAGAATACTTATTGTTTAAATGATGACCGTGAATATGATTTTGCTGTAATATTAATGTTTTACGAATTCTTGTCTCGATATATCCAACGATCAGTCGAATGAACTGATGATTTGTTACTATCTCCACTTTCTCTTCTTTGACACGTATGAAAGCATGTTACATATCTGCAATCGTTCACTCTGCCCGGATTCTTCGAGGAATAACGACTGCTTCCTCATTTATTTTATTTTATTTTATTTCATTTTATTTCACTTCTCAGACGTAATTCAATTTTAACAGTCAACTTTGATATGTGGTTATCAATGGAGTTGTAACTCGATAATTTTATTAATAATTTACTTCTTCTATTTTCAGATTATTTCATTATTTATGTATATGTATGTCTAATCAATACCGAGTGATTCGCGAGAAACAGTACAACTAATCATCTCAGTTCGGCTTAAAGATAAAAGAAAACTCCAGTAAAATATCAAGAGGCAGATGGATCAAATTGCTCGTTAAGACTAAAAATTATGGTGACGTTTTATGCGTGTAACTATGTTAGCTTCCTAATAATATCTCCTTCTCAAGTTTCGTTTGCACGCGTCTGGTTATTGAAGACAATATGGTTTAATTTCTGCGATGACAGAATCCTGCGTTTCCTGTTAATTAATTAATTAACGTGATATTCTACAGTTGACCAGTGGTGACATTCCACGCAATTATTATTAAATGTCGCTAACAGGAAATTCCATAAGCTATTGGTTTTTATGCACCAATTTTCAAGAGTCACTGAACAATGGAAATAATTATGAAAATAATAGAATCAACATCTGAATTTATGTTCCATTTGATTATTTAAAATTTACCAAAATTACAACGAAGTTTAATCCATAAGATATTCAATATTCGTTGATGTCAGATTTACATATAATACATTGAGTTGGATAACTCTTTGAAATGGAAAGTTTGAACGTTTTTATCGCGCTTCGGGTTTCATGAATAACCTTTAGTATGAAGCTATATCGTCCAAGTTCGATTGGAAACCAGGCAGACACCCTGTACATCTAAACCGGACTAAAGAAGACATTTTTATAAAAAGTGATACGGGCGTGTTTCGTGCAGAACAAAGAACGAGAGTGGAGAGACCGTCTTCGGCAGACAGTTAACTCTGCACCATCTGCCCGGGGTCTTTCTTTTCTTGCGACGAGTGACGCACATGAGCGCAAAAAAAAAATATAATTTATGCACGAGTATCGGATCACTATACCTATTTGCACTGGGTGTTACTTAAGAGCAGAAGTTTCATAATTGATGGAATACATAACGTAAACATTCTTTTGTTAATGCTATAGTAAAATATGCTACTGTTTCTGTATATTTTGATCAATCAGTAAAGTCGTTGATGTTGTAATTGCTCTACGGAATAATTAGTGCCGTAAGCTATTTAATAATGGAACGAGTTTACTACGCAAGTAAAACAAGTTTAAACGATTCATGCGTAATGATTAATTACCTGTACTATTATTTTCTTTTCTAACTGTAATAATAATTATAACAAGAAATGTATTTTAGTATCTAATATGCAACTAGTGTAACCGCTTATTACGTAGGATTGCTGGATCTCAAACTAATATCTAAGAGGATTTCTATTTAACAAAGCTTGTTGTTATAATGTATATTAACATGTTTTCTGTTTCTGAAAATCACATTTTGTGGTGGAATGGACAAATTAAAGTAACACCTCAACTTCTCTAATTTTCTTGTATTGTATCTGTCTTTGTATTTCTTTATCCCTCTTCCTCAGTGCCCTCGCCACATCCTCCCTCCGCTTTCTTAAGGGGGTATTATCGTCTAGAAACATCAAAAATTCGATATTTTCTTTTTTTGCATTTTCTTATCATTTAGGGTTTTGAAAAAGTGCCTCTAAAATATTAATTTGAAATTCGTAGAGCTCTCATAGTTACAGAGGCTTAAAGGCTGTTCACCAGTATTAGTGTTAAATGTATAGCAAACTTTAAACGCGTTTTTCTCGAAACGACATTTTTCAAGTCGGGCGCACGTTTTTCTCAAAAACTATTGGACCGACTGACTTCTGGTTTTACACACATTTCGAGGGCACCATCACCTATAGTCTGAACTGGAATTATACCGATAGCTTGAGTATTTTAGCTCTGCTCTCATGTTTTAGTTGACAATTTTCCGGGAAAATTAAACCTTAATTTTCAAACAGCTGCGATTCCGATAAAAAATTTAGTACTTACTTAATTCTAGTTTAGACGATAACTACATTCACATAGATTGAAAAAAACATTTGTTTTTCCGTCTCAGACGACTAGAACCTGTATAACAGCGCATAACTTGTATAGATTTCAATCAAGTATTTCATAAAAATTTCTGTTGTTAGTTGAAACGTATTTTATTATGCATAAAAAACCCCTGGTACTGTAGGTTTGATAGTTTTCGCAAAATTAATTCCTAAAAATTACTGAGAAAACAAACTAGACGATAATACCCCCTCAATTCATCTATTCCTATTTGGTTGTAACCATATCTCATAAAATATTCTCCCCTTTCTTTGTCACTTCTTATCTTACAATTAGTTATCGCCCTTTTCTTTTTCTTCAAACATTCTTTTACTAATTGCCTAGCCTTAATGCCTTAATTTCTCTTCAAACTTTATTGCCATTCTCTGTTTTAATATAAACCTATTTCCTCAATTCTCTCGTAAATTCTTTCTGAACATAACCATAATTAAACTATCGCTTAGAAAACTCACTGAATAGATATTAAACTATATTATAGGAATTGCAAATATTATATTGGTAAAACGAAACGCAAGTTTCATCGGCGGGTGTAGGTCTGGTTGTGCGTCAATATTTTCATTCGAGATGTCGAGCATTTGGCGCGCTGGCTGATCTTTGCTGAATGACGTATTCTCACGTTCAGAAGTTTGCCATGGTTCGCAAAAACCGGCTCGTCCAGGCTCCCGTAAAAGGAAGACGCGTGGTAAACTTCGCGAAGCAGTATTTCCTCTGACATCACAGTCATCCAGAGCGACACCTGCGCTGCCCGTAATTCTTGTAAACAGCCAAAGAACTGTTGAAAGATACATCCTTTGCAAGGTTTTTGCGCCGTGATACGTACACTTGCCATAAACTCACGGTACTACTGTTACCAAGGGACCGTATACAGTACTTATACATACACGCCTATATCTAGGTACCTGAATGAGTACCAGAGTACTTTTTACTAAAATTAATTGTGAAGGTGTCGAAGCAGGGCCGGCGTGACCTTTTGCGGGACCGGGTTCAAAAATTCTGCGGGACCTGGATTCACGTTCAAGCCCTACGTTTAATTATTTATTTACAAATACTGTTACATATTATATATTTTTTATAAGATGAATATTAAATGATAACATTTTGATGACTTTTGTCGCTCCTTTCAATTTAATCAGCGTTACCAAAAAAGTGTCTCGTATTTGTTAATGGTATCATCAGTCTGTAAAAAGTTAATCAAAATCGGTGCCTTTTAATTCAGTAATTTTCGTAGACCGCGGGACCTTTTAAAACGCGGGACCGGGTTCCGGAGAACGCGCTGAACCTGCCTTGCGCCGGCCCTGCGTCGAAGAACATAAATTTAAACAGAATCGATGAATTTAATAAAATTACAAAAATGGTGGTAGCGCAACAGTTACATTGTACACTTCCCATTCGTATAGAAACAAAATCTTAACCCCCTAGAAATGTTCACAATTGCTGATCTAACAAGCGCCGCGTTAAAAAAAAAAAGTAGAAGCGAAAGAGCAAGGAAAACAAACAGGTGAAAAACTCCCCAGCACCCTGGTATCGACAATCTCATCCCAAGAACCTACCGACGCCGTGAAGTCACCTAATCGAATTACTGCGAATCAATCGGTGACTCATGGTATCTAAAACACACGATTCAATTAAGCAAGATAATTGCCTCGGCATATTGCCTCCCGGCATAGGAAGAACTCCGCGATATCGTTGTCATTCGGCGGTTCTCGGAAAAAGTTTGCCGACCTCCGCGATAGAGGAACGACGCGGATCGTTTCGAGACGAGAACGTTGTTATGGGGCCCCGTTTGGCATTCAGCGTACGGTCGATCCGTTGGTCGTTTAATTGCCCATTATTTCGGTAGCGTGGGTGGGCTGCGTTGTACAGCCTATTATCCTCTCGGGCCTTCTGGAGCGATACGAGCCAGGCCTAGCGCATACGTGCACGCACGGAAGAACGGATTTAATGAAAGGCGGCAGCGCGGCGGGTATTGTGTTCCAGCGCGGTCGGTCACGTGACTGTCAGATGGATTTGCGTCAATGGTGACCTCCGCGTTCGCGTATCCGTCGCTCCGCGCCCCTCCGTTCCGCATACCCCATGGGCCCCGCGGACGGACCCGTGGGACCAGTGTAAGTATATGTATACATACGAGTACTCGGAGCCG